GGGATTGTGGCCAAGGTTCATGCAAGGGGGTTGGGCCCGCAGGAGGCATGTAACCTAACCTCTGGCTGCAAGCCGAGTATGACAGGAAGGTCACAGGGCAGCCATGTTATGACGGCATGCCCAATCAAAGGGGCGCCCCTATCTAGAAACACAGCAGCCACAAATCACAGATCTTTCTGTCCGTCTGTATGCCTGCATGCACCTTCCTCTTCCACCAAAAATACGCTACCTCCTTGGCAGTGGGGGGCGACGGGTGCCCCTGTCCGTTCTCAATGCGGTGGGGCGGCGGGTGCAATGTGATGATATCGTCATCTTCCGGTGGCTTCCAGATGTACTGCTCACCATTGCCCATGAACACCGGTTCCTGGCACACACAAATCAAATGATGAATTCGGGCAACTATTGCAGTTTACAGTCTGGAAAGAAATCCAGAACCAACATGCACACTGCAGCAGTCCTTTTTGTGATTTCTTGTAAAATTAGACCAAAGAGTTAAAACACAGATCTGGATGGAATAAAGGGACCCCTGCAAAATTGATCAGATTTTGCTCTTTAAATAGGTACTATAAAGTTCAAACAAAACATTGTTGTAACATGCCCAATGGTTGGGTGGTTAGCGCTTCAACCTCACAGTGCAGAGGTGCAGGGTTTGATTCCCGTCTCAGGCCTCCCTGTGTGGAGTTTGCATGCTCTCCCCGGAATTGAACCCCCAAACTGAGAACTGCGAGGTGGACATGCTAACCAGTCGCCACAGTGCCTCCTCGAAATGTACATATCAGCATGAAATAAATTTTCTGCCTACATTGTGGCCATATCACACAAAATAGTCCTTCATAAGATGGCAGTTCAATTCAGTTACGACTTTTGGAGACTTTCTTTTTCGAACCAAACATAATAAAAATAGATGTTAGCACTCTTCACGGATTTAATTTGCTTGCATGTTGCTTGAGGTACAGAATAACTTGTTGATACCTGTTCAGACAGCAACCTACCCGCAAGTTCCATGCAAATCATCGCTTCAAATATACTCTCACATTAGCATACAGAGAGAGATATACCCCTTAGGCATATTGTGGAAAAAGGAAAGGAAACAGAAAACTGTTTTCCATACTATTGCAAAAAAATAAATAAATAAATAAAAAAAATACTAGTTAAAAAACATTTTGTCATGCATATATAAATAGAAGCAACTTGACCTTTCACGCTCATACTTTATAATCTGTACTGCGTAATATGTACTTCAAACACCACGACTGTTCAACAACTGCAGGCAATTGCACGCAATTAGAAACCAGTTACAAAGTATGCAACATGCTAGCATTGTCAAAACGGCATTCACTCATCCAGCGCGAGACACTGTGTATTCGGAGCCAGAATAAAATCGCTTCAGGATGTCAGCATTATTTATCGGTCAGCTGGCTACCTGTTTGCCATTTCTAGGCAGACTTGCTGATGGACTCAACGGGAGTACACACACGCACACACACACACACACACACACACACACACACACACACACACACACACACACACACACACACAACACGTAAGCGTGCACACAAACACATTGAGGTGGTTTGGCAGCCCACCAAGTTCTTACATAATGGGTCTTTCCACTCTTTACAAGCCAGTAATATGGCACTGCAGCACAAAGCAAAGAGGCAGAGGATCCACATCTGCACTCACAAATGCGGAAATATGCACACTCGCGTTTACTGATTTAACAACACACATCAAAAGTACAAAACACTAGCTAACAATGTCAAGGACATACACAGTTGAATAGACAAAGAATTAAACTATAACAGGAGCCAGCAAAAGCACAGGAAAGGCCAGCCGATCATGGTTCTTCTCAGGAATGCCCGAAAAACTAAGACCACGCCTGCCACCAAATAACATTTATTGTATTTATAACAAAGTACATAGACCCAAATAGTGAGACACAAAGTTCATTCATTCATTCATCCATTTTCCGAACCGCTTGATCCTCACTAGGGTCGCGGGGGGTGCTGGAGCCTATCCCAGCTGCCTTCGGGCAGTAGACGGGGGACCCCCTGAATCGGTTGCCAGCCAATCGCAGGGCACACAGAGACGAACAACCATCCACGCTCACATTCACACCTAGGGACAACTTAGAGTGTTCAATCAGCCTAACATGCATGTTTTTGGAATGTGGGAGGAAACCGGAGTACCCGGAGAAAACCCACGCAGGCCCGGGGAGAACATGCAAACTCCACACAGGGAGGCCGGAGCTGGAACCGAACCCGGTACCTCTGCACTGTGAAGTCGACGTGCTAACCACTGGACTACCGGGCCGCCCGACACAAAGTTAAGAATGGAAATTTAGTTAGCTGTTGTACTAAGTGAAAAAAAATAAATAAATCAGATATTTTTGGGAACATAATGTATATGTAAATTTCATATGCCCAATAAATATTATGTTAATGTTACATTACCATATACTCACTGTACTGTATTTTCCCACTCGTGACTCGGTGTTGAAGCTGACTTCAATGTGCAATATCATGCATACTTCCAACAATGCATTAAAATGCGCTGAACTAACATATGTAATTCTATCATATTCAAGGACAAGAGGGGGATATTGCATCAGTTTCCCACATTTTATTCATGTGCATTGAATGTAGATGACAAAAGTGAGTTCTTTCTTTTTCACTGTGTAACATTAATGGAACTGTATTTATACTTATTTATATAGGCAAAACCTTAACTCTGTCTCCTTTTCTTCCTTGAATTAGATGACATTTTCCTTTCATCTATCTATCTATCTATCTATCTATCTATCTATCTATCTATCTATCTATCTATCTATCCCTAACATAGCAGAAATCAAAGACAAAAAAAAGACAATTTAGGTAGCTTTCAAATTTGAGCTTATTTTCTCAAAGCTACACTAAAAGTGGTTACTTTGGGCACAGTGCCCTCTAGTGGTTCATCAACTGCCTCCCTCTGGGTTTTGAACAAACTGGCTGCTGCACAGTGGATTTTTTTTTTCCCCCCATCTTCCTTATGTTATTCGTTACCTTTGGGAAAGAGTGCAGGTGAAACGGCTCCAGGGGTTTGCGTGGAAAATCCTGACTGCGATGTAGTTGCGGAGCAGCAGCCGAGGGTGAGTCGCTCACGCTCGATTTGTCTGACTGGCTGTCGGCGCCGTTATTTTCCTTCCTGTTTGTCTTGTCAACCTTGACGCCACCAGTGAAGACATAATAGACAAAGCTCAAGAAATCCAGCACAAAATCAAAATGTGCATGTATTTTTGGACTTTTTGTGCAGACCAAGGGAGTATTTTTAAGAGTTTAACAACACGTAGCGGTTTGTCTTCTTCAAATATTTAACGAGGACCAAAAAAAAAAAAAAGTGAAGATAAAGTTGACTTTTGGAATTTTTACCCCAAACTAAAACAGATGTGTCATTCATCTTTGGCAATGAGCCAAATTTGAATTTTCAGACCATATATACAGTATATACTTTAAATAACACCATACTGAATACTTATGAGGAATATTTTCAAGTGCACCCAATTCGTTTTAAATAAACAACACCGAGTCCTACAACACACAGTCTGCTAGATCAAATTTTCTACTTCTACCTACTCCCTTTGAACATGTAAACTGTGGTGAACTAAGACATCTATAGTTGATGTTTTCTCTTCTTTCAGTTTTAATTTTCACAGTAAAGCTTTAACTGTTTATATGTTCGTTCAATCAATCAATCAACCAATCAATCAATCAATCAATCAGTTAGAGTAGAAAGCCCAAGAAAAAGTAGCAGTTAGTTGAGTGTTTCACCTTTCTGAACTTGCGAATTGAAGCATACTCAGCTGCAGTAGGTTCTTGGCTTGCCAGAGAGTTGACTGAGGACAGGGGGGACCCGTTGACCCCGCTCACCACGTTATTTTTCCCTACCATTGTTTCGTTAATGGTGCCATTCCCTCTGCCACCCTGTAAAAAAAAAAGACAAATACAAGCACATACAGTGAATCCATGTTAATTGCTGAGGATATGTTCCAGGAAAAGATGTGTAATATGTTTAAAAAAAATTCAAAAACCATGATTTCAACCCGTATATGCATTTAAACAGCAGTGCGATGTCATAGATTTACCAGCAGAATATTTCTACTGCTCTTACTACTATAAATGACTCAGTAAGATGCTATATTAGTCATTTTTTTCCGAGAGGATAGAGAATATATGACTGTATTGTTATATTATCTGTCGACATGTTTTGCCTCACTCTTTCTGTTTGATTATTTGTTGCTTCAGCTAACCATTAGCATGTGAATAGCATAAAATCTAAATGGATTTTGTCAACGAACTCGCTCTGACTACAGTCAGTTAACTAATTTCAACATCATCTCCCTGCAAAGGTCGATGAAGGTGCATCACAAAATGAAGGAGACATACAAAGGGGTGCTTCTGCTTTAATTGCTGACAGTTTTTGCAGACATGGAGCTGTGTGTATGTACTTACATTTCCATTGCCATTGCGGGCTCCGTTGGCCTGAGCAGGTGGGCTTTGTGCGACCCTGACTGAAGTTGGAGTGTTCGTTGATGTTGGTGGTGGCGCCACAGGCGCTTTGGGGCCAGCATCCCCTTCCCGGACACTGACGCTTTCGTACAGGCCGTCGTCCAAGCCGTGCGTTGGCGTCGGATTATTTCGCAGGCCCACCTCAGTGTAAGTGTGGTCTCTGGCCTCCCCTCCTCCTCTGACGTCCCTTTCTCCCCCTTGGCCGGATCCCAGTGGGCTGGTGGGGATCTGCGGAAGCTGACGCCCCTGGGAAGGCCTCAGGTCCGTCTGGGAGCGTCGACTGTGGAGGAGCAGGAGGTCCATGCTAGCCGGGCGGCTCTTACTAACTGCTGATGAACAAGGGAGCGGAGGGAGGAGAAAAGGCGGTAACTTATCAACAAGTCACCCACTGCACGGTGGATTGTCACATTGATTGAAAATCACTTACAGCTTCCGTTGCAGGGAAAGCGGTTGATCTCATGCAGCCTGGTGTCTGATTTGCTCATGGAATTCAGTTTGGGATGTCGAAGGGTACCCTGCTGTCAAACACAATATGAGCGCTTTCATTCAAAGCTATTTATGTTTAGATACATGTCATACAGGAAAGAAGGAGAAGTAAACTCATGCCTGACCATATTTACAGATGTGCCTTTCTCCCCAGCTGTAGGATGCTTGCTCTTGCTTTTTCTGACAAAGATCGAAAGTAAGGAAGGTCAAAGGGAGCCGCTGGACAGAGTTCACATACAGTGCAGCAAATACAGTAGAAAACATCAAAATCCAGTCCGATGGTAGCGCGTCGACCTGACAGTGCAGGGGTTGTAGGTTCGATCCCGGCTCCGGCCTTCCTGTGTGGAGTTTGCATGTTCTCCCCGTGCCTGCATGGCTTTTTTCCGGGTACTCCGGTTTCCTCCCACATTCCAAAATCATGCATGGCAGGCTGATGGAACACTCTAAATCAGTGGTTCTTAACCTGGGTTCGATCGAACCCCAGGGGTTCGGTGAGTCGGTCTCAGGGGTTTGACGCAGCCTCTGCCATGCAGGGTGAGACACACGCGACTCAACATGTCAATTAGTTATGACACGCCCGCTTGGCCATCACTGGCTGCAGATGATCACATGACATTGCTTGTCAAATCAGTGCTGTGGGAAATTGCGTTCACTTAGTAGTCAACGTGTGACTGTCTTGATAGTCCTTCGTACAATAAAAAAAAAGTATACTTATCTCTTGAAATTTTATTGACATTTTTCTGTTTTTAATAAATGTGTTTCTTTTAACATCTTGAATTTGTAATATATATAAATAAAACAATAATATAATATAAATTTAAAAAAAAAATAAAAATATATATATATATAAAAAAAATATATATATATATATCAACCGGTTGGGTTCGGTACCTCTAAAAAGGTTAAGAACCACTGCTCTAAATTGTCCCGAAGTGTGAGTGTGAGGGCAGATGGTTGTTCGTCTGTGTGTCCCCTCTGATTGGCTGGCAACCGGTTCAGGGTGCCCCCCCGCCTACTGCCCAAGAACAGGTGGGATAGGCTCCAGCACCCCCCTCGACTTTTGTGAGGATAAAGCGGATCGGAAAATGGATGGATGGATAATTTGGCTCAAAACAGTCCAGAAAAGTCCGGAACCTACAACATAATAACTTTCCAGTCAGCAGCAGCAAAGTCCTTGGTTGATAAGAGCAGTGAGCAAAGCAACAGTTTGCATTCTACAAGAGTGTTATGCTACAGTATAAATCCTATTTGTTTTTTCTATGATGTCTTTCACAATGCAACCATTTAAAGCCACTATTCATCATGCAGTCGCTTTCATGCTATTCCCTTTCCTTTTGGATTTATTTTCCTATTCTCTCGCATAACAACTTGTTCTAAAAGAGGGTGACAGTCATTGTGAATCTTTGGAGGTGGTAGCTCAAGGCAACTGTTGATATGGAGCGCAGCAAACAAAAAGATGAGGCATGAAAACAACAAAGCCCATGGTGCAGGTAAGGATGTTTACCCCACCTCCGCATCTCACTTTTTTCACAGGAGAGTGAATCTTGTTGTCTCTGAGCAGTTGTTTTCTCCACCCAAGTATGACATCATATGGATAATGCCCAATATGACTCCAAGGAGACTTTTCTGCTACCCGAAACACATTAGAAACACTGACCTACATTTACAACTCTGTGAGTCGCCACCTTACTGTGGTGGAGGGGTTTGCCTGTCCTACTAAACCTAGGAGCTAAGTTGTCTGGGGTTTTATGCCTCTGGGACTGTCACCCATGGTAAACAGGTCTCAGGTGAGGGATCAAACAAAGCCACGTCCAAGTCAAGAATGAGATCCTGCCCAGCGTGGAGGAGTTCAAGTATTTTGGGGTCTCGTTCACGAGTGAGTGGAGGATGGAGTGGAAGATCGACTGGCGGATCGGTGCAGCATCTGCAGAGATGCAGAATTTGCATCAGTCCATCGAGGTGAAAAGGGAGTTCAGCTGGAAGATGATGCTCTCCATTTATCGGTCGATCAACATTCCTATCCTCAACTATGGTCACGAGTGTGGGTCATGACCGAAAGAATAAAATCCCGGACACAAGCGATCAAAATGAATTTCCTCCGCAGGGTGTCCGGGCTCTCCCTTAGAGATAAGGTGAACAGCTCAGTCAACGGGCTCAGAGTCGAGCTCCTGCTCCTCCACATTAAGAGGAGCCAGATGACGTGGCTCGGGCCTCTTAATAGGATGCCACCTGGATGCTTTCCTGGTGAGGGGTTCTGGGCATGTCCCACTGGGGGGAGGCCCAGAGGATGACCCAGGACACCATGTACAGACTGTCTCTCCTGGCTGGCTCGGAAACACCTTGGATCGCTCAGGATAAGCTCGACCAAGTGGCTAGAGAGAGGGAAGGCTGGGCTTTCCTGCTTAAGCCGCTGCCCCTGCAATTCAGCCTCGGATAAGCGGAAGGGAATGATGATGACGATGATTTTATTACGGGTATATGTATTTGTTACATGAAATGAAGGGTTTTTGTAGCGTTTCTCTCGGCTATAGCGCTTCCAGCAATTGAATGTGGATTTGAAGATTTTTTTGGTCCAGTAAGATTTAGGACTCCGTGTGTTTCTGTGTAAATTTAATCAGGCCTGGGCCTTCAGAATTGGTAGTGCTGTCGAGAATAGCGATGTGACTGTTTCTTTAGCCAATCAGATTCCAAATGCGTCTTCATAAGGTCCTTGATGAGATCAACATTTTTCTGTCCTCTGATTGATACCAGACAACTCTTACTTGCTTGAACGAGATGATGCAGGATGGAGGGCGCAGAAAAAAAAAATGAAAGAACGAAAAGAGGAAAAAAAGTGGGGCGTGGTTACATTTAAATTCACGAGAATAAGAAGCAGATGAAATTATATGTCGGCTAGTGTATCTAGATCTGTTTTTGCTTTTTTTTTTCCAGTCACTTTTTCGTTTCCTCTATTTTTTTCTCCTTGCCAGCTTAATAAAATAACTTATTGTTTGGTGGCTATGAATGGCACTAACCGAACAAGCTGAGTGTCAAAGGGCAGCATGGTGGATGGGTGGTTGGGTTCAACAATGGCTGTGACTCTTAAGGAAGTGCTACACAAAAAAAAAAAAAAATTGAGTTGAGCCGAGTGAAATGGACATTTCTACCTCAGGTTTGGGGTTCGAATCTTTGCTTCTGCATGGAGTCTTCATGTTCTCCTTGCACAGTGCTTTCGTGGGTTTTTATTAGGCGATTTTTCAGAGAAAAAAAAATACTGATTACCAATAAATCGTCTGATTAATTTAGAAAGTATATAATGCCTTTATTTGTCTATGTGCATATGTACGGGCATTAATTATACACAGATTTTTGCTATTAGCGGTCCAGTATAGTCCCTATTACCTGTGAACAGCAGTGGTCACCTGTAAATATATTGTTAAAATAAATTGGGTCCCAGAATGCATTGCCTGATGCAATGGATTTCATTGATGACATTATAAGGATTTTAATCCTTATTATCTTTGTGTTTTGTATTACCAGTAAATGAATGTGTGTTATATTAAACACATTTATGTTGTACTTATGTTTTGATTTGAGTATTTTATTATTATTATTATTATGATTTTTTTTTTTATTTTTTAAATAAACTGTGACTTCCAGGTCAATTCCTTCCACAACCTACAATTCTGACCGACCGACCCTTTGCTTGTAAAAGTTAAGATTTGCTTTGTTTTTGAAACATAGATCCACAGAATCGCCATCCCAAAGTAAAATCATTGCAAATATATTTAATGATACAAGGTTACGGTATATAGAATTACTGTATGTGTGATAAATAATGAGACCGGTTTTGCTTGTGTACAACTGTTGGAAATGGTTACAGTACATAAAGGTAAAAACAATCTACAATCAGCCATTTGGCCGATTTATTTTGGCCGATGTTTAGAGGGCCATAATCGGCCAATTTAATGGGCCGGGGCTCGAGTTATTATCTTGGTATACTAGCTTCCTCCAACATTCATGTTCGCTTCATTGACTCAAAATTTCCTATGCGTGAGGAATGTGAGCATGAAATCTGGCTTCACCTTTTCAGGGACAGCAATTAATACAGTGGACATCTTATCATGTTATCAGGTTACAGGGTGCATGAAAGGGTGAATGGTGACCCGAAAGAGCATAAGTGATAAAGACGATGGCTGGCTGGAGTGTAGTATCCTGTGAGCGTTCACTCACCTCTGGCAGCCCACGCAGACGAGGACGATGAGGATGGTGACCACAAAGGCCGACGCTGCTGCGATGGCCCCCAAGAGCAGCAGGTTTTTATAGGGAGGGTCCTCGAGGTTTGTCCCTTCGCTGTCAGCCATGACACACGATCACTCTTACACCCACTCACTTCCACTCTCAGCTCCAACTCCGTCACACAAACGTTCTGCTCAGGAAAACCTGCAGAGACAGGGGGAGGAAGAAAGAGAGAAAATTCGGCAGAGAGCAAGAAATGTTTTGTGGGCTCGCAGCAAATGAAAGAAATGAGAGATAAGACAAAATTCGGCAGAGAGCAAGAAATGTTTTGTGGGCTTGGCCTGCCTCTGGCTTTCTGTCACTGTCTCTTTCTGACATTTCATTTGCTATTTTTGACTCTCACAGAGAATAATTAACAGAAAACAGAGCACCGAACAGGGCAGGAAGGATGCGCCCGCTGAAAAAAAGGTTTCACTAATACCTTTTTTTCCCTGTTGTTAAAAAAAGATCAAATGGTGTTGCAATGTTCATTTCAGTCGTCACAGATTCTTCTTGTTAGTTTAACAGTCAAAACTCAGTGAGCTCCCCAGAGTCTAGCGTCTCACCAGTGGACAGACTCGAACCACTACTTTTAGATTTAATAAAAGAATTGCTATAAGAGAAATATGACACCATAGTAACTGCAGCCTCAGGTACAAATAGTGCACATGCACAAAAATGTGACGATCACACCTTTCCACGCTCATGTTCATATTTATCAAGAGCAGAAGCACCCACCCAGTCAATTGCAGCGGATGAGTAGACCGCAGACTTCTCCCGAATCAACTGTGAGGAGTCACGTCTCATAGCCACAATTTGTTTTACTTTTTTTGTACGTTGGTCAAACCACACTTCCTATCCCTTCAAATATGGTGCGGAGCTGAGGTGGCGGCCTGGAACTTTAGCTCACTGCTCTGTGTTCCCAAACCGGAGGATGTTGTGGCGGCTCAAGTTCGATACCCGAGTTGGACGCCACAAGTTATACATAGGCACATCCATGGCAATCCGCCCACTATCGACCAAAAAAGTGGCCGGACGTGGGAGGTTAGCTGCTTGAAAGGTAGATCTTGGCTTAAAAATGATTGGGTACCCGTGTCCATCCATCCATGATCTGAGCCGCTTATCCTCACCTGGGTCGCGGGTGTGCTGCGGCTATCCCAGCCGTCTTCGGGCAGTAGGTGGGGTACACCCTGAACTGGTTGCCAGCCACTTGCAGGACAAACAACCATCCAAATTCACATCACACCGAGGGACGATTTCAGGTGCTCAAATAACCGACCACACGTTTTTGGAATGTGAGAGGAAACCGCAGTGCCCCAAAAAAATCCACGCGGGCACGGGGAGAACATGCAAATTCCACACCGGAAGGCTGGAGCTCGTGTACTCGAACATCCAAACTGAGAGGTGGACATGCTAACCAGTCGTCTATTCTGCCGCCCTATATATGTACACACACCCACGCACGCAGGCACGCACACATGCACGCCCGCCCGCTCTCGCGCGCGCGCGCGCACACACACACACACACACACACACACACACACACACACAGTGGCTTTTCAAATCGTTTCTCCACAAATGTGCATCTTACGGATTCACGTGTACATTCCTTTAGGAACACAGACAATAGCATGAGGAATGTGTGACTTATGTACAACAATGTAGAAAACAGACAACAAACTAATGAGAACACAGAAAGAGGTTAAAGCTGTGTGAAAGATTCTTGGCTTTCTGGTTCTTGGAGATAAAACGCCATCTCCACTCCACTCCACCCCCTCTGTCCCATTTTCCTGCTTTTTCTTCTCTTCTCGTCTCTCCTCCTCTCTTTCAGTGTGTCTGCCTGACCCTGCAGAAACGTGAGGCGATGCACGGCAAATGAATTCGCAGCACTGAGGCCTCAGACAGCCCTCTATGGATCAGACAGGCAGCAAGGGAAGACGGAGGCAGAGAGTTTGTGAATGGTGGAAAGGGAGGTGATGAGACATGGCAACAAATGAGCGGGATGAAAGGGCTGACAGGTGGAAGAAGGCGAGGTCGAACTGAAACACTGAGGCAAGAACCAGGAGGGTTGGAGCTGATGACAGACGAAGATGAAGACAGCTAGGGAAAGACTCGGGAAGCCTGCGAGAATGTGCAAGGAGCGCAGGGAGGGGAAAAAAAGGATGCGGCAACGAGAAGGAGGTCACCGGCGGTCCGTCTCTTCTGCCTTCATTTCGTCAGCGCCCTTTGAAAAATTCAGATGAGAATATACAAGGCGTGCAGAGTGGAACGCCAGCGAGCAGTATGTGAAGCTCACAAGTGGTGAGACGAGCCTGGAGGAGGAGAGGCGATATCTGCATGACGCCCCTGCAGCACGCTGCCATTTAAGGTGCAACAATTCTCATTCCAGCATCTGTCTTCATTTCACAGTACGATATGAGAAGCCACGGCGGCGCTCATATTCGGGAGAGCAATGACGATGGCACTGACTGTAATAAAGAGGCGAACAGTGACGATGAAGACTGATGGCGATAATGAGGTCAAACTGAGAGTCACAAATGTGTGTTGACGCATTGATTCCAGGGACCGAGAAAGCTTCCTGGGATGTAAGAAGACAATGGAGGCCCATGTTTGTTCGTAAACATTTTATGGTGTGATGTCATAGAGAAGCTCAGAGAAATTTGAACAACCGGGTCAGTCTCACCATAAAGTGTCTTGGTTGTTCTCATCGCAATCACTCAACCATCATGAAAATGGAGCACAACAACGAAACTTGAAACGTGATTAAAGTGGCCCAATACTTGCGCACATCCCAGCGGAATGGTAAATCTCATGAAATATACTGTATTTCCACCATTTTATACCATTTTTAATCAGTAAATGTAGGTGATTTTGCTATGGCGTGGTATTCCACAAAAGAATAATCCGGCTGTTTTTGTCCAGACTTTGCCCTTCCTGACTGAGGATGAGGAATGCCAGATGAATGTTTGATTTTCCTGTAAGACCAGCCTGTGGTCTGAGGTGTATTAAGAGTGAATCTCTCCCGATCACAATATTAAACATTCAACGTGCACAAACGAAAACAAAAATAAAAGCACAACAACGAAACTTGAAACGCGATTAAAGTGGCCCAATACTTGCGCACATCCCAGTGGAATGGTAAATCTCATGAAATATATTTCCACCATTTTTAATCAGTAAATGTAGGTGATTTTTGCTACGCCGTGGTATTCCACAAAAGAATAATCCGGCTGTTTTTGTCCAGACTTTGCCCTTCCCGACTGAGGATGACGAATGCCAGATTAATGTTTGATTTTCCTGTAAGACCAGCCTGTGGTCTGAGGTGTATAAAGAGTGAATCTCTCCCGATCACAATCTTAAACATTAAACGTGCACAAACGAAAACAAAAATGAAAATTTAAATGTGTGTGCGTGTGTGTGTGTGTGTGTGTGTGTGTGTGTGTGTGTGTGTGTGTGTGTGTGTGAGAATGTCAGTACATTTGATTCCGTGAACTGTGACGTGGAACTGCACTTAACCAATCAAAGAAGCGCCCACACCAACAAGCAATAGACATAAATAAAAACAAATATGTCCTGCCCATAATTTTTTTTCCTTGATTTTTCTTTTTTTTAAGTTTGCAATTTTTCTGTTAAAAACCAGCATTCCCTCCTTTTTAAATTGTCTTTATGTTTATCCAGGTTTTCTTGGTATCATCAGTCATTTTTACTCCAACACGCTAAACACACACACACACACACACACACACACACACACACACACACACACACACACACACACACACACACACACACACACACACACACACACACACACACACACACACACAGGATTATAATCAAGTGTTACATCACACGATTGAAATCCAGAAATGTTTGACTCTACATGTTGCATGCTGTACTTCTTTTAAAATGGCTCATTAACCGCAAATGTGCTAAATCAACAGAGCCTATCTTACTCTCTCTCTCTCTCTCTGTGTGTGTGTGTGTGTGTGTGTGTGTGTGTGTGTGTGTGCGTGTGTGTTTACCTCTCTGGTCAAAGGGTCTGTGATGGCGTCTAGGCTGACGCCGCCCTCGTACGTCAGGGGGTGAAAGACGTTGAGGGCGCGCCA